ATCATCCAGAAGGCCCAAAGATCCCCACCTCCGAGGTAAGCGAAACAAGAGGGTTCAGGCAGGCCAGAGGGATCACCATTGCAACCCGCTTTTCCTTTATTGTGCAGGCTTTGCCCTTCCGCTGGCCCTTGTCTCTCCTGCCGCAGTGGAGATGGCCAGCCTCCAGACACCGGGAAGGAAGGGTTGCTCTTCAGACTAGGGCCCAGAAGCCGATGGATTTGCTCAGGCTGGCCCATGTCGCGAGTGGTCCCTTTCCATAAAAACGCTGGAAGCAACTCTGCGGGATCTAGAGCAAGTACAGATCCAGTGCCCTGTGCAAAAGTAAGCACACTCCAACTCCTGGCTCCTTCAGGAGATCATTCCAGGTCTCCACCCTACTTATTTCTCAGGAAACTATATAGCAGTGGTCCCCAACCTTGGGTAACCCAGATGTTCTTGGACTACAACTCCCAGAAGCCTTCATCACCACCTCTGCTGGCCAGGATTTCTGGGAGTTGTAGTCCGAGAACATCTGGAGGCCCACGGTTGGGGACCATTGCTATGTAGGACATTTTGCCTGTATTAAGATATGGCCATCAATTGCTTTAGGTCTTTCCCCAACAGCAGAATTCAGACAAAAAGCAGAAGTATGTAACCTGAAGAGATGTTCAAACCCTGTCCTATCAGCTGAGGGTTCAAGACAAAGCTCAACTCAAGATCACACACACACACACAAACACACATCTCTTCCAAAGAAACAACAAGGCAGAGAGGCTGGGTCCCCACCCCCTGAAGGTGCTAAAAAACAAAAACAAACAAACAAAAAACAGCCAGCCAACCAGCCGGATTGAGGAAGTCATCCAGCGGGCTCGGCGGTTTCTCATCTGCCATTCATTTTGGCGGTTCGCATGCCTCAGCAGTGTTTGGTGGATTGCTCCCTTAACAGTTTTAATTTAATTTTCCAGCGATAACACTGTTGGAGCAGAAAAGGGAAAGGAATTAAATTACATACTGTAAGATAGTTTGCCTCCCCCCGGGGACCAAGCAGGGAACAAACAGTTGTTCGGAAGGAAAAGAGATGCTGATAGATAAACCTTTGTAGTCTTCAAACGGGCTGCTTCACATTATCACGCTTCTGCTGCAGATGCCGGAGGAAAATATTTTAATCCAGATTCGAGAGCTGAGAAGCTGGGATTTAGACAAGCTGCCCGAGTCAAACCGATGTTTGGGACTAAGCCCTTTGCTGCCACATACACACTCCTCTTCATGTACATTCGACTACTTACATTCTGGCCTAATCAAACCATAGTCTGTTGTGATGCTTGACCTGGCGACAATGGTTTGAATCCGCTCTCTAAACCAGGAAACAAACTACAGCTGGCAAGCTTGCTTTGGAAGTCAAGCACAAGCCACAAGAGAGGATGGCATTCACCCCACTATGGGCTGTTTATCTGTTTTATTTAATATATGGCTAATAGTGTTTTTATCTTGCTGCAAACTGTCCAGATGGGATGGTATATAAATTTAATGAATGAATGAATGAATGAATATCCCCCCCCCCAAAGTGCTATTTGACCAGCATCCAACAGCATCAAGGTCACGATGTTCATTCACATTGGCCAGAAAGAGAGGCATTGGCTAATCCTTGGCAGCAGCTGCCACCCAAAGGGGGTGGATGTGGGGAGGAGGGCATTCAGATGCCACCAGGGTAAGCTGAGTAAGAAGAAAAGCAAGCATGGGAAGGGAGAAATGCCTCCACCTGCTCCAGCTGCATCCTCAGCAGCTTCCAGATGGCCTCCCCTCATTGTATGGGATGAAACAGAAATATCTTCAAGCAGCCTTGGGATCACACAGAATTCTTGGTGGTTCCATAGCCCGGGCACAAGGATGCGCTGCAGAATCTCCTCTTGGGCAACCACCCACCTGGAGCCTCTACAGCGGCGTTTTAAGCCTCTGATAAGAGGAAAGAACCAGGCTCCCTGTTTTAGTGCGCATCGAATGAGGCACGAGAAGTTTGTAACAAATTTGCCACATCGCGAGCAGCGTAAAAGTGCGGAAACCCTTATGACAGTGATGGATATAAAGCGCCAGCTGTTTTGAGGAAGCGGGGAAGGAAAAAGAGAGCAGATAATGAAAAAGAGAAGCAAAAGTGCCTCCGAAAGACATTTTTATTTGGGCAAAAGCTTTTAGGCTGCTGGGAATCGGCGTTGGCATGGCGTGATTTTAGCTGCATGTTTATATCTGTAATATATTTGGCATTTTATATAAGCATTATCTTTTAGGATGCTATAAGATGCTCCCCGCTCAGCGATAGGGCTGGGAATGAGTTTAGAAAGGAATACATTCCAGAGTTTGATGAAACACAGCAAAAGAAGGCAAGAACACCGCATTCCCTGCCTGGCCACCAGGAACACGTGGCTCTCTCTTTGCACCAGGACAGTGCCCCAAAGAGACGGTGACCCCCAAAGAAGTGAGAAAGAACCAGGGATCTAGAATCTGCAGATTAAATCCAAGGGATCCCAACCAATCCTGTGGTCCGGGCAACAGAGACACTCATCACAGATTCCACAAGAACCTCTCGGTCTCCCAGTGTGTCGATGTGCTAACTCTGGATCTTCCAGTCGTGAGTGGGAGGACTAGATTTTGGGTTCTGGAATCAGGAATGACAAGATTAGCATCTGGATCTGGCCTAGGAGGTGAGAGTGGATGGGGTGCCCTCTTCCGTGTATGGGAGAGAACCCAAATCTACGACACTGCCTGTCAGCAACTGGCTTGCTTCGTAGAAGCCTCCAAGAGGAGAGGAACCTTGCCGTGAATCAGACCTTTTGCACGATCCTCTTCCCCAGCTCCTCCTGGAAGCCTCTGGGGTTCCCAGAGGGTTCCTAACCCACGGTCCCCTTACCCAGGAAGGAAGCAAGGCCGGTGCCTCCAGGGTGGCTGGGTGGTGGTGTAGCTTTAGAGGAGCAGATTCTTCAGGGACATTGAACTCCAGACCTTCTAAGTCTCGATTCCTGTAAGGTCGCACAGCCAAGCCCTGCTGTCACTCAAGCCCTGGAAGGCAACAGGAGCCTCAGCCCCACAGGCGGAAACGCAAGGCGCAGCCTCGCATTGAGAGGCAGCTCACCGCACATCTTCAGCGCCTTAAGCAGAGGCCTGGACACCCTTTTCCTTGGGAGTTTCTAAGCCATGACCTCATCCATGCCCTGGTCAAAGTGTCAGGAGACTGGGCGCCCTGGAGGGGGGGTAAGGGGTAGGTAACGCGCTGTGATGCAACACTGCACAAGTGATAAATGTTTGGAAAAGAAAAAAACCCTTGAGGCCACTCCCCAGACGCGTAGGGGAAAGGGCCCTTTGTGCGGTGACATCTTGACTGCTTTAAAATATGCAAGCTTTCTCAACCGAAGGCGGCTGGTTTATTGCTCCTCGAGCTGGCAACACGCCTCCTCCATAACGGCTATTCGCCCCAAGAGCATGACAAAGTCTTCTCCAGGACGGATCCTTGCTGCGCCTCCGGAAACATCCTAGAGCTTCTGTGGTTCTTTTGCAATTCTAAGTGACGTCTGGAACGTTCCCGGGACGCGGCTGGGTATTTTACCTGCTGCTACGCCTCCTGGCACGGCTCTGCCTGCATTGCTACTGCAGCAGGAGCAATCCAATCCCAGAGCTGCGGGAAGCTTCGCAGAAGAGCTCTCTGAGACCTTGCTCTCCCCCCACCCCAAACTGGTCCTCCTTTCCCGATACATCCCACTTGTGACCCCCCACGACAACCACCATTCCACTCTTCATAGAGTCCTGTTCCCTACGGCTGCCCTGCTCGCCTTGAAAACCTGCCCCTTCATCCCTTCCCAACCTAAAACTCCTCCTTAAAAGCCACCTTTGGTGTGACATCCGTGGCATACTCCCTTTAGTCTGAAGTCAGACAAAGCCTGCTCTCTAACAGCTCCAGGTCTCTCTGGCCTCCCTCTGGATCATAAGCTTCTCAGGGAAAGGAGCAGGTTTCAGCTTCCACAGCTCTGTAAGGGGCCCCATCGACGGGCTGTGCTTTAAAAAAGCCCATCCGCCTTGTCCTCACCCTTCATCCTGACCCTGTTGCAAAGGCTTTTCAATTATGTACAGGGTCGCTGCTGACCCAGGCACATGGGGCTCCCCAAGGGCGAGTGTCAGATCAAAACGCACAACATCCTAGGACAAAGATGGGGGACCTCTTCCAGCCCAAGCACTTGTCGGCATGACCATCCAGTGGCAGGCAGCCCTAAAGGCAAAGGATGTCAACTTAAAGCATTTGGGTGCCGTGGATTAAGCCGCAGAAGAGGCACCTGATGGCGCAGAATGAGGGGAAACCCATACGAAAGCTGGCAAAGCCACCCACCAAAGGAGGTGTGAGGAAGGGGCCACGGCCAGAGGGGAGGATATAACCCGAAAGCGTGAGGCTCCACACTCTTGTCTTACCAGGAGGGTAGAGGGCATGGAAACCAAGGCCTTCTGGGAGAGTTGAACATGTTTAGCTGAGAAGGAATCTGACCGCCCTCTTCAGATATTCAAACAACGGTCTCTGGAAAGGTGGCATTGACTTGCTTCCTGCTATTTCAGAAAGCAGGACCTGAACCCGTAGATCCAAAGAAGAGGATTCCAACTAAACATTGGGAAGACCTTCCTGTTTGACCTTGGAACAGATGGTCCTTAGAAGTTGGTGGGCTCTCCTTCTTTGGAGGCTTTCCACAGAGGTTGGTGGAAGCCTCAAGGAGGCTTCAGCTGCACATTTCTCACTTCATTGAAGAGCTAGATTCCTTTTCCCGCTCAACAATTCTACAATTCCACCTGTTCACAGCACCTCCTAGACCTTTCAGGAAAGCTCACCTGCAATGCAGTTCTCCCATAAAGAAATGTAATGGATAATGCCACACCCCCTCCTCTATCTCTCTCCCTCCCTCTCTCTCTCTTTCTCACACACACACACACACACCCCGATAATTTCGGGACCACAACCTCCAGTTAAGTGGGCCCCTCCCTCCTGTTCTTACCTTGGGGTTTGTCCGCTGCTGAAGTCTCCTCTCTTCTCTTTCCCTCTGCAAACGCTCAAACTCCTCTCGGATCTCGGCAGGTGTCCGCCTCCTCTCCACCACCTGCGGGAGAAGGAAAGGGGGCACCCTCAGTTTAATCAGCCACAAGGGCCACTGGCGCTCAGTCAGCCACGCGGTGGGCCAGACTCGAGGGCGTCTAATTTTCTTGATTCCCTCAGGCGAAGAAAAGTTTTCGCTTCCCCATTCCTCGGTCACCCGCTTCGAAATCAAAAGCCACACAGCTTGGTTGATTCCACGGCAGGTGGCAATTTAGGCTCTTGCTCCTTGCTTTAGGCTTTAGCAGGAAAAAAAACACAACAACCAGAAACAGCAGGAAAAAAACACCAAGATCCATTTTGCCGAAGATAAGCAGAGCTGAGCTTGTTTGGTCCCAAGTTGGTGGGGAGCTTAACCTGCCCTTCTTCCCCCCCCCAGGAAGTACGTCATCCTGCATTCCCCAGTAGGTGGGATATAAATGCAAGCATGACATGCTGAGGAGCAAGAGAGGGCATGGGTATGCTGAAATTTGCCACTGCACACGGATTCATGGATGACAATCCTCAGCACTTTTCAGAGGGTTCCTCCAAGTGCTCCCTTGCATGTTCTTTTCGTTACTCTTGCAGGCCAGCAAGGAGGGCCTTTATTATTGTCCCTGCAAGGTCTGGAGAGCATTAGCTTAGGAAAAAAAGGGGAATAAGCAGAGAGACGAAGATGCATAAAATTAGGTATAGTGCACAGGAAGTCTGACAAGGAGACAACCTTCTCGCTTTCTCTTAACACAAGAGATTTGGGACAGAAAGAAGGGACTTCTTCGAATGCTGTAGAACTCACTGCCACAAGATGTCATGACGACTGTCAAATTGGATGGCTTTACAAGAAAACTGGGAAAATCCACAGAGAATAGGGCCATATGTGGGTACTAGTCAGGATAGCTCCATTTCAGCTCCGGTACTGGGGCAATTCTGCCTCTTTGCATGACAGCCACTGAAGAACATGAGGCAGAGAGGGTAGTTGATCTGTCCTGCCGGCAGGCTGCCCACAAGCCAGTGGTTGGCCACTCTGACAAAAGAATGACCCCTTAGATATATTTTGGGTCTGATCCAGCCTTAGGACTCTTCATAACTTTTCTTAAGGGCATGGGCCTGATGCTGGGGGCAGAGACTTGCCAAAGAGACCAGCTCCATTCACAACAAGGGCAAGCTCTGAGGTAGAGGCGTTGAGGCTCATCCTTAGTTATGCCATGAAAATCCACCCAACAGGTTAGCAGACGCGTGATTCACTCTGTGTTCATCTCAAGCAATAGCCCAGATCACAAAAAAGGACAGGAAGTTTGTGGGTTTGGGCTAGCAGAGAGAAAATACTTTTCCCTGGAACAGAAAGGTGACCTTGGTTGCCGATGCCTCCAAGCCTGTGAACTGCAAGTTCCTCCACCCTGGAGAGGGGATGCAGCAGAAACAGAACCGTACGAGTCCAGGAAAAGAAATCCGTCTCTTTCACGCACACGGACAAAATGCCAAACTCGAAAAAATACTTGATGGAAACGAAGGGATTAAATCAGCAAAGTCAGGCCAGGCCAGAAAAGGTGAGATTTGCTGAGCGGACCCCAAGCCGCTTAACCTCTGCAAGCTGGAATTAATGACTTTAAACTACTTTATCTCTGACATTCCCTGTGCCAGAAGGAAGCGAAAACAGCTCCTGGGGCCTCAATGCACCCAATTTCTAGGCATCAGAGGATCAAGCTAGTTGCGCATTCCGAACACATCCAATGGGGCCAACCGCAGGGTTAAGAAACCTGCTCCCTCCCTCGCTGGCATCCCAAAGAGCTTCGCCGGCCCTCCAAGTCTAGGCAGGTATTTTTCACTGTTGATTTCTCACTGGCAACGGCTGCCTGTGGACCTTTCTCCCAGGGCGGTGCTGTAGAGCCTCTCGGCCCTTCCGTGAGGGACGTGGGGCTGTGAGATGACTTGCCCAGGGCCAGCCTGCTAACTCCAAGACGAGCAGGGACACGCAATTGATCTGCCCCATCAAATACCAAATCCTCTCCCTCCCACCGCCAGTTATTGAACCTTATCTCTCTACGGACCTCTGGCTAGACCTCAACCCCTCCAACAGGTCCTGGGGTGTCCTGCCAAGTTATCCCCACCAATTCACGATGCAGCGACCCACGTTCATCTCCGTTACGGACCAGCAGCCTGGCATAGTGCCTTCGAGGGAGATCACAGTGGGCAAGGTGGGAGGCAACCAACAGAAGGTGGAAGCTGCAGGATCCCACCTCCCTCCCTGGGAGAGATGACCAAGGCAAGCGCTGTCCTGAGCGTAATTAATTGGGCATAGCCTTGAAAGAGCATACGGGGATTTTCTTGGGGCACCCTTCCCGTCTCCCCGACCAACAGGAGGGAGCCCGCCTTGAGCACCGTTAGAAGCTCACAGGACAAAGGCTTCTAGCCTCGCCCCCACCTCACCCGATCTCTCTTTGACAGGAGACTTATTGACCAAAGGAGAATAAATCCAGACTCCTGATTATACCACTGCCAGTAAGATGGGCTATAATGGCTATTTATCTTGTTTAAAATGTAGCAAGCTACACTTTACAGCAATTCCTTCCCATATCATTTTTTAAATGCCCATTTCCAGCTCCTTGTTAATGTGAAAAAGTATATTTGCCGTCTTTCCTGAGTCTCACAAACAGAATTTTCTCCTTTAATAGTATTATTAAGAACATTTACAGGCAACAGGATTTGAATTTCCATTTTAAACACAAAACAGGGAGAAAACTGCAAGGGCCCTTGATTCGTATTATTCTTNNNGGGGGGGGGGGGAGGAAAGCTAGCCTTTGTTTACACCGTCTTCTGAGTTTTGACCCTGTAGGCTGAGGTCAAGATAATGTTTCTCTTGCCACAAAAAGAGAGTTTTCTACCTTTCAAATCATCTCCTGTCTTAGCTTTCTCAACTTTTTAATGTTGATGTGTTTTCGTTTGGAGTGGCTGTTTTATTTAGTTTGCATGCTGTCATTTCATTGTTTTAACATACATCTCAGAGTAGAGTGCTGTGCACTAATGGGGCAACATAACACAGCAGGGCATGGCATGACATAAATTTCCCCACGGCTAATGGTGTGTAAAGTTGGATCGCTCAGGGGTGTGAGTCCCTGGCTGTAGAGCCAGAGGTTGCAAGTCTGAATCTCCACTACGTGCCTGTCTGGGTGGCCTTGGGCCAGCTGCACCGTCCCAGCGCACCCCCTACAAGAAGAGCAGACAGTAAACCATTTCTGAGTCTTCTCTACCCGGAAAATCCTGAAAAGGGTTGCCATAAGCCAGAACTGACTCGACAGCACACAGTTATTATTAATAACGCTGCGTAAAAATCTTCTCCTCTGCTTGGTTTTCATACATCTAACATAATCAGGCCTTTTGGGACAAACAGAAATATCCTTTGGAAAAGTGGTGATGGTGGAAACGACCAAGGAAGACTCCGATGCTTCTGCTCGGAAGTGTCCCAAAGACAAATCTAGACGTCTAGACGTACCCTGGCCAGACCTTAATAAGGCCCTTCTCATTCTAGGATGAATATTTAGCTCTTTTTATAAACATGACTAACACTTTTATTAGGAGTGACTGACCAGGAAAGCAATTTGGGGGTCACAGTGGATGATGCAATGAAATCATCCGCTCGGTGTGAAGCAGTTCTTGGGGGCACGGAAGGTGAACTCCATGCAGAGGACCATTAGGAAAGGAACGGCTAGAAACATTAAAAACCTTTATAAAACCTCTCCTCGGGAGACAAAGCATGCAGGGGCTATTCAAGGCAGAAAATATTAAGGGCCCAGTGGAACGGCATAAAATGAGGGCTGCTCTGGAGAAAGTACTTTTGCGGGAGCCCAAACAGGGGTGATGAATAATGGGGAGATGCCAACCAGACCATAAGCAGGACAGCTTCACACAGAGGGTGTTCAAACGGTGGAACTCCACTGCTGGAAGAGGCGATCACAGCGACAGACTCAGAGGGCTGTGGGAAAGGGGGTGTCCGATGAATTCCCAGAGGTCAATACCATCAATGGTTTTTAACTGGAAGGGCTCTGCCACACCTGGAATCAGAGCCAACCAGCCCCGGTGAATGCTGGCTGATGGGGAACCACAGGACTTCTGGCCTCTTGCCCGGCTGGTGGACCTCTCCCTGGAGCGTCCAGTTGACCACTGAGAGAAAGAAGGCTCCAGTCCAGGTCTGATAATGCAGGGCTGATTTTACATTCCTCGTTAATTCCCTAGTTAGTTATATGCTGTCAAGTCAGAATTGACTTACAGGGACCCTGTCAGGACTTTCCAGAGAAGTCAGATACTTAAGGAGGGGTTTAACCAGTTCTATTTCCCCAGTGAGCTTCTACGGCTGAGCAGGGATTCACATCCTGGCATAGCAACTCTCTGTTCCCTATGTCACACTGTTAATTTTCTGCTTCCCAGTCATTATTATTAACTACTCTAACTTTCTCCCTCTCCAGGGTTCTGCCTCTAGAATCCTTCCCACTCAGACTGGAGGACTGCAGCGTATCTGAGTTTCTCCCCATGGCTGAAATGATGTTCCTCCTTCATTCCCATTCTTGGCACTGGCCTTGCCTCTCCTCATCATCCTTCCCCATCACCCCCACCTTGGATTTAACTCTCCAAAAGGCCTCTATCCCCATGGCTGAAATGATGTTCCTCCTTCCTTCCCATGCTTGGCACTGGCCTCTCCTCTCCTCCTCACCTCATCATCCTTCCCCATCACCCCTGCCTTGGATTTAACACTCCCAGAGGCCTCTAGGGCTTTGCTGCGTCAGGAC